TTGATGAAAGAAAGATGATAATTAAATCTTATCTCCTGATTAGTGTAATAGCCAAATGTTTTTTTATGAGAGTAATTGGAGCAAATAAAGTTTCTAATCATTATAGTGCTCATATGTTCATTAGGTAGCTATTTAGAGTCAGGTTTAGAAGAGAGCGAGACGGAATTATTACTATACTGGCTATGGGTGTCATTGGTCTTTGCTGCAGGAACTATCATTTGCAGACTCTAGAGTTGGGGCTAAGAAAATGAAGTTTTTATGCTTAAAATGGAGAATAAGTTTGATTTAACTCCTGGAATTACACTTTTGAGAGGCAGATCTGAGGTCTTTCCCTTTGGTAACGTAACACACATAATATAAAAGATAGGACAAAATGACTACAAGTAATTGGACCTTTAAGGGTTAAAGTCTTTTCTTTAATCATTCTGCTAGCATAGGTTTGTGTTTAGGTACTTAATATTTTCAAATTAGTTGCTGCAATTTTGTAGGTTTGATTTAAAGAAATATCAACCATAAGGTGCTGAAAGGTGGCTCGAACTCTAGACTAGTCTCAAGCTTTTGAATTTGTGTTGTTTTGAAAACCATAATTGTTTTTGCCTACTAGGAAAAAAAATTGTCTTGACGGGTTTTTTTTTGGTACAGAAACCTTCACTATTTTTAGAATGAATTTAACTAGATTAGGATGTATTTTGGAAACCTACCTTCTATAGGTTTTTTCCTTATTTATTTCCTTCCTCTACTGAATGTTAGCTAGCATGTAACTTATGTAACTTTCAAGGAATCATGGATAGATGCTCCCTTCAAATAAATTCGACTGAATTTGAGAGAATTCTTATCGGCATGAATTTGTTGAAGGTCAAGCTTACCTTAAATTTGTTTTAACAACAAAACTTTTCATTGATAGACTAATGCTCAAAAGATACAACTCCAAGAGGGAGGGAACACAGAAAACAGTGATAACAAGGCATCCGAAGTAAAGACATAACATAGAAGAGCAAAGGCCTGGAGACAGAACACCATGATAAGTATGGTACTCTTGCGGAAACAAATCAAACAAACCAAGAGATGAACTGAGCTAGAGACAACTAACCAACCACAAAGCTGTCCGAACTGAGTTGAAGTTTTCACTATCTTCAACTTATTATAATAGATTCTAAGCAAATGTAGGACTGAGTCAACCAAAAGTGGAAACTCTCAAAGAACTTCAAATTTCTGGCATAATCCAAAAAGACACCCTAAACAAGTGCATTGGAGAATGGACAGAATGAACCAGGCTTGAAGAAACTGAAGCTCCCGCTCCCCTGTCAAATTTTCATGAGCATTCCAAACAAAAGCACCAGCAATATAAATGACCTCCCCAAACCTCAAGTAAAAAAATTAAGCTAGCTAACTCCTTCAGAACTATCTCCCCAACCTCGTGAAAACTAGGAATAGACCAACAATGAAAAATTAAGCATTCTGACGGACTCCTGGAACATACGGGGTCACCTATTCAAATTTCTAACCACTTGCCTAGATTAGTGAGGAGAATTTATCCTGTAACAGAATATCAATTCTTGATGGTTGATTTTCATCTGAAACGTTAACAATGGTGCAATCTGACTTATGGTGACTGGAAATGAGTTTTTAAGTCAGCATGAACAGAATCCTCAGAATATCACTTCTCCCTTACCTTATATTAATAATGCTCGGTCTATAATGGACAAAATAATTTGTTACTAAGGTGAAGGTGAATTACGCATGAAAGTTAATCAGGAGAGGATGATTACTAGTGATTGCTCTATGATGCACTGCATCTCCCGCTGCAAATTCCAGAACCTTTGGTGAGGAGAGAATGTACAAAATCCATCTTATTATCAAGGCTGCCAAGCTGCTGCTGTTTCCTTTTACCATCATTCAAAGTATTTGTTTTGTAAAAATATGACTTTAAGTTCAGTTCATACATGCGCTGTTGGACTCGTGAAACCTGCATTCCCCTTTTTGATAGGCCAGGTTAATTTGTTAATAAAATCATTAATTGCATGCGGGGGCTACTGAGGTCTGCAGCTCTCTGAAGTTATGTGCTAAATTTCAGGATAAACTAGATGATTCAGCATGGAAGATCTTATCAGATTACCAAACTGCAACAGTGACCCTTCTGTCTCTTATTTCAGCTGCTGCCGGTGACGTAAGTGAAATTTTCCTTCTCTCATTACTGATTTAGCATCTTAATTTACGATGTCTAGATTTGCGCAAAGAGAACAAAAAAATTTCATCGCGAACTAGGAAGAATGAAATCTTTAGATTCACTAATGTGTCTGCATCCAACATTGTACTTAACATCCTGACGTTCCAAATCTAGCTAGATGCGTAGTAGACAAATTAGTGTTGAGGTTTTTTTTTTTTTTTTTTTTACCGCGCATGGGATGTGGCCAAAAAATTGGGTAAAGTCAAACCATACGTGTCAAAAGAAACTATTTTTATTTTTCCCCACAAATTGTAACATATTTTTTATTTCTAATTTTATTATAAAAAAATTGAGTTTTACAGAAACTATTATTTTAAAATACTTCAAAAGCCCTAAACACAAGTTGGTTGTGAACATAGAAATTCAAAATGGTCATCAAATATGCCTTGAATAATATATAAGTTTGGTTTTGTATTTCTTTTCTAGCCATAGCTTTGTAGGCGTGATCTTATGTCATTAAAATATGCAATTAGGTGAACAATTTTGTAAAGATAATATTAAGATCCGATCATCTTCATTTTCAGTTGATATTTTTTTCGTACTCTTAAAACAGGAAGCCATTTACGTTTCTTTTGACCTTGGATAGAACTCATTTGCAAAAGCAAGCACTAACAGATGTTTCTGCACATGTAATTTTTCAGGAAGACGACTGTTCATCCGACAGAATATTGACCAAAAGGGAATTTCTGGAGAGTCAAATTCCTGCACTTAAAGGCCTTGTCCAGAAGGGAGCTTCTGGAGAGCCGAAACCCAGCACTTAAAAGGCCTGGTTTTCTCTGCATAACGATATCATACGATCCGAGTCTTGCAGTTCATGTATGCAATTTTCAGTAAGTTCTCTAGCCTAGCACTCTTCGAAATGGAACAAGCTACTTAAAAACTTCAAATTCTATATCTCCTAACAATGTGCAGGTGAGCAGCTTGGGTAGCAACATATCATCAAACAGTTAATTCTCTTGACATAAAATAGGACGAAACGATTTACGCATATCAACTCGAGAAATGATTGGAATTGGCCATCACGATGTGGTTGATCACTCGCTCGCCTATTTGGTAAAAACTCTGAATAAACGCCATAGCTTTTTTAAACAAGGCCATTCTGTTACTTTGATAAGAGTAATAGCTAATGATATACATAGTTTCATATTGGGAAAAGGTAGATTTTCATGTGAATACACTGATGACATTATACTATTTTAGAAGCTAATACATTTAAAAGTGAAATTTATGAAAATTTAATTATTGCAAAGATTCTACTGATTATGGGGCTGCTTTAAACTGGAGATTAATGATGGATTACGATGAAGTTTTGAATTACGTTTACATATTCTTATGGACATGAACTCCAATGCTAATTTCAAATTTTTATACTTGGCAAAGAATTAATACCTATATTAAAAAAAGTAGTATTTTAAAATATTTTAGATTGACATAAATACTTGTAAAGGAATAAAATTTATTATTTTTTTAGAACAAAATCTACAATTATTTGATTAATAAAATAATGTTATTTAGTTTATTTTAAAATGATATGTGTGAAGTCCACGTTGGTTGGGGAGGAGAACAGGCTACCATTCATAAGGGTGTCAAAACCTTCTCTAACTGACTATCATTTATAAGTGTGTGAAAACTTTCCTAGCAGACTATCATTTATAAGAGTGGAAACCTTCTCCTAGCATGGAAACCTTTCCCCACCATTCTCTAGTAGACCACCATTTATAAGGGTGTGGAAATCTTTCCCTAGCAGACTCATTTTAAAGTATTGAGGGGAAGCTCGAAAGGGAAAGCCCAAACCCCTAGCAGACACATTTTAAAGCCTCGAAGGGAAGTCCGAAAGGGAAAGCCCAAATAGAACAATATCTACTAGCGGTGGATTTGGGACGTTACAAATGGTATCAGAGTCTCCAAACCCCTAGCAGACACATTTTAAAGCCTCGAGGGGAAGTCCGAAAGGGCAAGCCCAAATAGGACAATATCTACTAGAGGTGGATTTGGGACGTTACAAATGGTATCAGAGTCAGACACCGGACTATGTGCCAGCCTTCTCGTTGTTCCCCAAAGAGGGGTTAGACACGAGGCGGTATGCCAGTAAAGACATTGGGCCCCAAAGAGGGGTGGTCCCACATCGATGGGAGGAAGGAAAGAGTGCTAGAAAGGACGTTGAGCCTCGAAGGGGGGTGGATTATGATGTCCCACATTAGTTGGGGAGGAAAACAAGCCACTATTTACAAAGGTGTGGAAACCTTCCTCTACCAGATGCGTTTTAAAGCCTTGAGGGGAAGCCCGAAAGGGAAAGTAGCTTTTGAAAGCTCAAAGAGGAGTTGTAGATCTAGGGTAAGAAAATCACTTGCAAAATTTGAAAGAAAAAAAAGCTAACTAGTTTAGCTCTAATTCTATAGTTTTTGTTTGTTTTCTTTTCATTTGTTTTGAAAAATGTATTGATGAATTACGATTCTCTTATTTTCCACTAATTCTTTTCTAATCGAGATGTATGGATTCATGGAGCTATGTGTCTATGGAGCAACTAAAATGTGTAGAATATCTATTTAGCTCTGCTATCTATGAGTTTCATTAACACTCCAACTCTCTTTTAGCAACATTTACTGATTCGAAAACTTAATTTAAAAATTCATTTTTGAAGTAATAATTAGATAATTATAATATGCTACAAGAATGCATAAAATATGTACATATAAACAAAGAAACCAATTATTGTAACGATATTTATTAATTTTCATAGTTTTTCCAAACAACCAAACAACTGTCGAGAAAAACTAAGAAAACAAAAATGTAACCAAAACATTGGATTCCACAAATCACCATTGCTTACCGGCCGCCACAACAAACCAACCGTCGAAACATGGACAGCAACGCACCACCAGAAGAACCCTGCTTGGCGGCGGTCCTAGCAACGGCGAAACAGCGGCTCCTCCTCTTCCTCAGCCCTTCGCGGATCTCCTCCGGCTTCCGAAATGACCTGAGCTTCCCAAGGCAGTGCTGAGTTGTACCTTTAGGGGCGACGGCGTCCTCTCTAGAAAAGGTGTAGCTCCTCAGATACATTTGTCGGCGAGCCCCTCTCGGCCGTGGGCGGCGGCGTTCTCTCTCTGCAGAGTCGTTCTCCTCCTCCGGACACCGCTGCAGGTTCACGTGGGTCGGGCGGCCGCCCGGGACGACGCAGACGTTGTCGACGCATTCTGATATGCAGACGGAGGCCATCGTCGGCGAAGAGATTCCGGCGACGGTGATAGGGTTTTAGAGATTTTTGCAATGCAAAATAAAAATGGGGAAATGGGTTTTAATTAAAGAGATTTAAATTCTATTTGATTGTCAACAACTAAGGAAGATGGAAGATGGATCGCCGAGTTTTCTTTTATTATTATTATTTGGATTATCTCGGTCAGACGAACACTAATCTCCACAATGGTATGATATTGTCCACTCTGAGCATAACCTCTCATGACTTTATTTTAGGCTTTCCCAAAAGGCCTCGTGACAATGGAGAGAGTATTCTTTGTTTATAAACCTATGATCATTCCCTAAATTAGCCGACTTTCATCCTCCAACAATCTCTATTTTAGTTGTCAATTTTGATGTGATATTACCATACTTATACCATGTGTTTTATTGTATATGAAATTAATTAATTGAGAATTTTAAGATTAGGGATCATTTTGTATATATATATTGATTATTATTTCTTTTATATAGGCAGCGATCGATGACTTCATATTGTAGTTGCCAAATTACGCTAAATCATTTGAAGTATACATGGAAGACGTTTATCAAACTATCCTAACATATAGAGTTGAAAGCTTAATGAGACCAAAATGATCGCAACCTCATGCATGTGTCTAAAGGACATGTTGATTGTGGCACTTAGCTATTTAATATAATGAGTAGTTATAATGAGTGTGGATCTCCGCTTCATTGACTATGGTACCACAAATAAATGGTACTTGATTACCTTCCTGTACTGACACTGTCTATAGCATTCGGCTCTAACGACGGTACAACTCAAATCATTGGTTAATTGTCCACTCAATCACAAAGAAGAAATGTTATATAATTCAGATTTAGATCTAACAATGCATGTTGTATTATTTTTACTATGTGTACATGCATGTCTAAACTCATCAAGAGATTACTTAGTAAATACTCAACCTTTTAAAATTTATTTTTTTACGAGAAAAACATATGGGTCGGGCAATAGGGTATTGCTAGTTTTTAGTTTGTTTTGGAATTGCATTTTTATTTGTTTTAAACTTACAATTTCATGATTTTTTTTACTAGCATGTATGAAGTGATAACCTTTATAGAAAAGTAGTAGAAACTGGATCGATATGAACCTCTTACAACGATGAACCAAAGCAAGCAATGACAATGAAAAAATAGGAAAGTAGTAGAAACTGGGTCGATATGAACCTCTTACAACGATGAACCAAAGCAAGCAATGACGATAGAAAAAAAGATGCCTTCCTTCAAAAGATAGGCAACTGTGAATACAAGAGTACCTAAAAGATCACCGAAGGTCAAAGAATCCGACAGACAACTCAAAAAGGTAGCCAACCCAGCTGGATGCCTGCTATTGTATTCACACTAGATACACCCTACACACACCCTACACCCCTTGTTTTCAAACCAACCATGCCCAATTTCCTCCATTGCTATCTCTACCTTTACCTTTCAACTGCCTTCCATCACAAAAACTAGACCTACCACTCTCCATCCTTTTCGATTCTCGAAATGCTGGAGAATCGAATCGAATCGAATCGAATCAAGTTGATCTATTGGTTTCGTATGTTTCTATCACAAACTTAGACATATTAGTTTGAATTTAGAGACAATCGAGCCATTATAACCTCCAAAAATCCAAAATTGAACAACGAGTTTTGTCCTTTTATTGATAATTGGATTGAGTATCACCCCAAATAGAGAAAAGATGATCAATCAATGAATATTGAAGAGGTCGTTAATTTGGTCAAGTTCAACCGTTACATGAAAAGTCCAAGACGCTTCAACCCTCCATAAATAATGTGTTTCGAAATTGTTAACAACCTTGGAAGACCAAGTTCATTATATCATGATCACTAATGAGCTCATCCTAGAATTCAAACTTGACCATGGAATTGAAGAGAGCTTTTTGCCTTTTGAAAAGTAGCACACAATAACTCACTCAAACTTTTTCCTCCTTTATTTTAAAAATTAAAGCACTATGAAATTCATGAAGAAATTTCTGATTGTGATGAATTAAAAGTCTTTATTTATTTATTTATTAAACTCCTTTATTTTAAAAATTAAAGCACTATGAAATTCATGAAGAAATTTCTGATTGTGATGAATTAAAAGTCTTTATTTATTTATTTATTAAACTTGAGGTGATTCGAAAGACTTTGAGTAGTTCAAACTATGAAATATATTCTTTATGGAAATTCACTCTTCATTTCATCGTAATTTAAAAATCCAAATTCTCTCTAAAAGTGAAGATAATCCCTATAAATTAACACGATTTTCATTGCCATGTTATTTAGTGACTCAATCCTAGCAACTTCAAAATTAAGTACGCTTAGTTTGTGAGCTTTTAAAAATTATGAGTAAAAGACATAACATGTTAAAAAAAAAAAACCATATGGGTTTATGAAGATAAACCCTTAAGAGCAAATCAAAACAAGTAAATTCTAAACCATCATGCACAGAATCCAAATTTGGAATCCCGCACATGAAGACATTGCACATTTCATCATAATCTTCGAAAATAATAACTTTAAAAGTGTTGAATAATGTAACATAGTATTTAATACCAAACACGTAAATTAGATAATTAAATAATTATCCATTAATGAAAAAAGAAAAAACAAAGTCAAAAAGTGAATTAAGACTTAAAAAGAGAAAATTTATGAGTCAATTATTAATAGTTTAAGAGTTGAAGAGGACACATAATGGTGATGTAATTTAAAGCTTTCTTAATCAATAAGAACAACAAACGAAAAAGGAAAAATAAAAGGCAAATTTAAAAAAAGTGGAAAAGGACAAATTTTGTTGTAGTTCTTTCTTTCCTCTTGTCGCGTACTAAGGCGCCATTAATGCAAATGTTAGGCCATTTGACTTATATCTCATATCATAATGAATTTGGTTCTTATTTATTTTCATACCATAATATATACTATGTTCTATATTAGGTAACTTATGTTATTACATTGGTTAATAAGGATGTTTCCACCACGAATACAAATGATTTGGATAATGGGTTTGGACCAGTTGTATAATCCAAGCTCACCGTTACCAGATATTGTCCGCTTCAGCCCGTTACGTATTACCGTCAGACTCATAGTAAAAAAAAATTGTTTCCTTTTCCAACTGACGTGAGATCTCACAATCCACCCCTTGGGGCTCAATGTCCTTGTTGATACACTAACCTGTGTTTGACTCTGATACCATTTGTAACAGCACTAAGCTCACCGCTCTTTCCCATGCCCTTGTAAAGAATACTTTCTTCCACAAGTACAAATTGTTTGGATACTGGGTCTGGACAAGTTGTATAATCCAAGCTCACCGTTACCAAATATTGTTTGCTTTAGTCCATTATGTATCGCCGTCAGCCTCTTAAAAAAAAAAAAATGTTTCCCTCTCCATACAGACGTGAGATCTCACAATCCACCCATTCGGGGCTCAATGTCCTTGTTGATACACCGATTTGTGTCTAGCTCTGATACCATTTGTAACAGCACAAACCAACCGCTAGTGGATATTATCCGTTTTAGGCTATTAAAACGTATGTGTTAGGGAGAGGTTTCCACACCCTTGTAGGGAATACTTTCTTCCCCTCTCCGAGGAGATATTATATGCTTTAGGCCGTTATATATCGCGGCCTCACAGTTTTAAAACATATTTGTCAGAGAAATGTTTTCACACCCTTCTAAAGAATGTTTTGTTCCACTCTCACAGATGTTTTTATCTAAGCGATTAGAGTCCTCCGAAGTATATTGAATAAGCAATTGACCAAAAGACGGAAAGAGATCACAAGAGAGATAGATAGACTATGTAGGTAGAATTGAATAGGTCCAAGACTACAAACCTTAAAATAAGCTAAGTTTGGTTCAAAAGTGAAACTTTTTAATAATTATTGGTAACATTAATTTTACATTCTTAATAATCAAAATAAAAACTCGAAAATAATTTTTAAGAGAAGTAAAAAAATAAATAAAAAAAAGGAGAAATATAATTATGAGTAATAAAAAAAAAAAAATTGGAAAAGGCAACATAATTCATAATAAATTAAAATGAAACCCCAAAGTGGATGATGATGTAAGCATCTCATGTTCTCAACGAATCAGTGAAGGCCTCGATTGAAATTAAAACGAAATACGAGGGCATATTAGCAAATTACCTTTTCCAAATCCCAAGTTTGGTAGGAAGCTTCGCGGGCTTCTGTTATTTTAATAAGCAATAAAACTAATTCCATGTGGACCCACTTTTTCTTACCGTACACCTTCACAACACATTGCTCGTATAGCCACCAGATTTCAACACGTGGCAATATCTTATCGGTTTTGGCTTGCTAGCGGTAGTACCGGATGCAGTCGGATCATGCGGTTGAATCGCTCCTTATTTAACCTATAATCAATTCCCTTCCATGGTTCCTTGTTCTCCAGTTCGTCGTCACTGGTAGCGTCACGTTGGTTTGATTCTCTCTCATGCAGTCGACTTCAGTTTAGAGAGAGGGAGAAGCCCGAAGCCCTTCGGCGTTAAGGATCCAATCATTCTGGTAATTGTGGTTTGTGATTATGTGAGAAATGATCGTGTTGATTTTGATTTTGATTTTTTTTTTGGTTTTGTTTCTCTCGACCTTATTTGGTTTCATTTGTTGTTTCGATCTTGTTTTCTTATCGACGATTTGGTAAGGAGAGGATATTGTAGGTTCTGACGGATCTGAGGCGTAACGGTTTTAACTTTGTTTCAATTGGACTGATTTGTTTATTATTTTCTGTCGACTTTGAGTAGGATGTAAAGTGGGTGGGTTGTTGGTGTTGATTTATCTACGTCTTTCTTGATTCTTGGTGGATTAAACCGAGTGTCGGGTGTTTGATTTTGTAGTTTTGGAACTTTTGTTCATTGGTTTGTTTTTGGTTGCGTTGGATTTTGTCTCAATGATCTATTCTTCTTCTTCTTCCCCTGATTTGCAGGCTAAATTGATCTTCTATTTGATTTCTTTTTCCATCCAATCTGTTCGCTAATCTAAATGGGTGGAGACGGGGAAAACTATGGGAAAAAGGAACCTTTTGCTGCTAACATCTCGAATAACGAAACTTATCCTGCCTGGGCAACGGATGTTGGAGAATGCCTAGAGAAGTACCAAGTGAACCCTGATCTCGGATTATCTTCTGAGGAGGTTGAGAAACAGAGAAAGATCTACGGTTCCAATGAATTGGAGAAGCATGAGGGTACATCAATCTTTAAACTAGTTTTGGAACAATTTAATGATACACTAGTTAGGATTCTATTAGCTGCAGCAGTTGTATCTTTTGTTCTTGCGTGGTATGATGGTGAGGAAGGAGGTGAGATGGAGATTACAGCATTTGTGGAGCCTTTAGTTATTTTCTTGATATTGATTGTCAATGCCATTGTTGGCATTTGGCAAGAGAACAATGCTGAGAAAGCATTGGAAGCTCTTAAAGAAATTCAGTCTGAACAGGCTTCAGTAATACGAAATGGTAAACGTGTTTCAATTGTTTCCAAGGACATCGTTCCTGGTGATATAGTAGAACTCAGAGTTGGGGATAAGGTGCCTGCTGACATGCGAGTGTTGCGGTTAATCAGCTCAACTTTTCGGGTTGAGCAGGGGTCCTTGACTGGTGAGAGCGAAGCGGTGAGCAAGACTGCTAAGGCTGTGCCAGAAGATACAGACATACAAGGGAAAAAGTGTATGGTTTTTGCAGGGACAACAGTTGTCAATGGAAATTGTATTTGCCTTGTTACCCAGACAGGGATGAGCACTGAACTAGGACAGGTCCATTCTCAGATACAAGAAGCATCCCAGGGTGAAGATGATACACCATTGAAGAAGAAGTTGAATGAGTTTGGAGAGCTTTTAACAGCAATAATTGGAGTAATCTGTGCTCTAGTTTGGCTTATTAATGTCAAATACTTCCTCACTTGGGAATATGTTGATGGGTGGCCAGCAAATTTCAAGTTCTCATTTGAGAAATGTACGTATTACTTCGAGATTGCCGTGGCATTGGCTGTAGCTGCAATTCCTGAAGGTTTGCCTGCAGTCATAACTACATGCTTGGCACTTGGCACTCGGAAAATGGCCCAAAAGAATGCTCTTGTTCGGAAGCTGCCCAGTGTTGAAACTCTTGGCTGTACAACTGTGATATGTTCTGATAAGACAGGGACTCTAACAACTAATCAGATGGCTGTAGCGAAGATTGTGGCTCTTGGTTCTCGTGTTGGTACTCTGCGAGCCTTTGATGTGGAAGGGACTACATATGATCCTTCAGATGGAAAAATAATTGGTTGGCTTGGAGGTCAACTGGATGCTAATCTGCAAATGTTGGCAAAGATTGCCGCTGTCTGTAATGATGCAGTTGTTGAAAAATCTGGTCATCATTTTGTTGTGAATGGAATGCCTACCGAAGCAGCATTGAAGGTGATGATCAAATAATCTCATGATCTTTTGATGCAATGATTTTATGTCACACAGCTATTGTCTCCTCCCTTAATTCTGACAGCAGTCATATTAAGCAAAAACAAGTTCCTAAATGATATTTAGAATTTTCTTATAGTATTCTGTTGGGTGTGATCTAAGGGTGACTAGGCATGCATGACCCTGAAAGTATAAGGCTTTTATTTTAGAACTGAAAATGACTGGCCTGGGTAGACAAAGTATAACTAGCTAAATTCATGACCAAATACAGAATCTGAAATAGCTTGGAAGCTTCAATTCTTCTTTAAGTATCCCCTTATACATTATTTTTCAACAGTGATGGGGAGGTTGGTGTAGTTCGTAATGTTTTACATTATGATAGGGTTTCTTTATGTTGTTCTATTGATATGCCCGATGATAAAGAAGGAACGTTGTTGAGATACTTAGTAATGATGCATGAAGGCAAGGGCAGATGCCAACAATTTTAGTAATCTATGTAGCTTTTGTACTGATTCATTTTATCTGGCATATATCTGCATATTCAGGTTCTTGTGGAAAAGATGGGTCTTCCTGAAGGATATGACTCCACTTCAGCTTCCATTGGGGATGTCCTGCGTAAGTATTTGACGTTATTATTGTCTCATTTTCTTTCTTGTGCGTCTCCCTAGTTTCATTTTTCTGAAATGGTAATGTGATTGACAAGGATGCTGCGACGTTTGGAATAAGAACGAGCAACGCATTGCTACTCTAGAGTTTGACCGAGATCGTAAATCAATGGGAGTTATTACAAATTCTAGCTCAGGAAAGAAGTCATTACTCGTGAAGGTATATTCTGATATTCTTGAAGTTAATTTCTACATTGTTAAGTAATTCCATGTAATTGTAAGCTCATTTTCTTTCTTATTATTTTCTTCACTACTTCTTAGACACCCATATTTCTTCTCACTGTGACATGTTAATTAACATTGGTTAAGATGGTGCTTGACTGAACTTGTGGCAGGGTGCTGTTGAAAATCTTTTGGAACGGAGTTCATTTATTCAACTTATTGATGGATCTATTGTGAAGTTGGACTCAGACTCAAAAACCCACCTCTCAAGTTACTTGCGTGAGATGTCATCAAGTGCATTAAGGTGTTTAGGTTTTGCATACAAGGAAGACCTTCCAGAATTTTCCACTTACAATAGTGGTGACGAAGAACATCCAGCACATCGGCTTTTACTTGACCCGTCCAATTACTCTAAAATTGAAAGTAATCTTATTTTTGCTGGCTTTGTTGGATTAAGGGTGAGTGACTCAGTGTGTTTATCATTTAATTAGTTCATCTATAATATTTTGTAATTGTAAGCAAAGTGAGTCTTTTTAGTTTTTAATTTGACTTGGGTTTGCATCACCATTTATTTTTATAGGATCCTCCCCGAAAAGAGGTTCATCAAGCAATCGAAGACTGTAAAGCTGCTGGTATTCGTGTTATGGTTATCACAGGGGACAACCAGAACACAGCCGAAGCTGTATGTCGAGAAATAGGTGTATTTGGACAACGTGAAGCTATAAGTTCCAGAAGTTTAACCGGAAAAGAGTTCATGGCAATGAGCCGGGAGGATCAAAAATCCCATTTAAGACAAGATAGAGGACTTCTTTTCTCAAGGGCTGAGCCAAGACATAAACAAGAGATAGTAAGATTGCTCAAGGAAGATGGTGAAGTTGTTGCCATGACAGGAGATGGAGTCAATGATGCACCTGCTTTGAAGTTGGCTGATATTGGGATTGCGATGGGCATTGCCGGGACAGAGGTACCTACTTCGATGCATCTTTTCTGTGAAAAAGAATCCAAATAAGTTGCTGGATGTGTCATACATACCGTGCATTCTTTCTTTTCTCTTCTTTTGGGAAAATTCGTGACATTCCTTCTTCTCAACCCCAGTTAGGATTGTTAAAAAATCTCAATCATATTCGCTTTGTGCTAAGTAATTTATTTTCTCAACCAGTTTTGAGAGTCTGGTCACATGCATGATTTGAATTATCTACTGCCACTGATTATATTTCTAAAACGGGCGTGTCTCTGTCCTTAACATTTGGCCACATATGGAATTAATTTTTTCAGGTTGCTAAGGAAGCCTCCGACATGGTTCTGGCAGATGACAATTTTAGTACAATAGTTGCAGCAGTTGGTGAAGGCAGATCCATTTACGACAATATGAAGGCATTTATCAGGTTTTTCTTCCACTTAAGCAAGAATTCATCCATTTTCGTTGATTATATAGTAGTATGCCTTTGGACATTCGTTGTTGGTCATTGGTGTTACTGACATAAAATATGAAAATCTCGAGCAAGCGTGCCTGTTTTCAATTATAGTTTCAACGCCGACAGTAACCCATAGAATTATTCTGAAATCAAATTCAGCCGTCTTCGTAGGATTCAGTTTTCACCGTGGCTTTCAAATGCCAAAAATTATTGTAGGTACATGATTTCCTCAAACATCGGCGAGGTTGCGTCGATATTTTTGACAGCAGCACTGGGTATTCCCGAAGGGATGATCCCTGTTCAGCTTCTCTGGGTTAATCTCGTTACAGATGGACCTCCAGCTACTGCGTTGGGATTTAATCCACCCGATACCGATATAATGAAGAAACCGCCTAGAAGAAGTGATGACTCATTGATCACGGCCTGGATTTTGTTCCGCTATTTGGTATTTGCGCATTCTCTTCCTTAACTATAACTAACTGTATAATAACGTCATCATTTCGTACCAAATGATATCAGTTTGTACATCCTACCAGATGAAAATCTAATTTCTTACCTTGTTCCACAGGTTATTGGACTTTACGTAGGGATAGCAACTGTAGGAGTATTTATTATTTGGTATACACATGCTTCCTTCATGGGCATTGACCTGTCCGGAGATGGTCACAGTCTGGTCTCGTACTCTCAGCTCGCAAACTGGGATCAGTGCCCGTCTTGGGAAGGGTTTACCGTGTCGCCTTTCATGGCTGGGGACCAAGTCTTCAGCTTCGATTCAGATCCATGCGACTACTTCCGTTCAGGCAAGATCAAGGCCTCAACTCTCTCACTCTCCGTTTTGGTCGCCATTGAGATGTTCAATTCCCTCAATGCCCTCTCAGAGGATGGAAGCTTGTTGACAATGCCCCCATGGGTTAACCCGTGGCTGCTCCTCGCCATGTCTGTTTCATTTGGCTTGCATTTCTTGATCCTCTATGTGCCATTCCTCGCGCAAATTTTCGGCATTGTCCCCCTCTCCTTGAATGAATGGCTCTTGGTTCTGGCTGTGGCAATGCCCGTGATCTTAATTGATGAGATTCTGAAATTCGTGGGAAGGCTTACAAGCGGGTTGAGGACATCTCGCCCGAGCAGCAGATTGTTGAAGCAGAAATCAGACTAAACACATTGTGGAAGGTATGATGAACGGGATTTGAATTCATGAATGACAAGAGAGTGGAGAAAGTTTAGAGTTCATGTTTCTGAAAAAGTGAAAACGAAGGAAGGGGTAGTATTTGCGGTAGAGAAATGAGTGGGTCTTGTTTTACGACTCTGCCATTTCTTTAACTCACATTTTTTCATCAACATTATTTCTTAGGCTGTTGTGGCGGAGTAAACTTACATTGTTTTCGTTCATAAGAGAACCATGATTTTACCCAACTCCCCAATTACTGAATATTGATGAAGTATCTGTTTTTTTGTTACATAATTCAAGTGAATTTCATTCTTTTATTAGTGCCTCTTGCATAATGTTTAAATTTTATTTTGATATCAGATTTTAAAATCTTCATTATTTCTTCCCAATTTGAAAAACAAGAGGGTAGAATAAGAAATTCAATAAATGAATGAAAAGAAAAGTGTTGTATTTGATGTTTTTATTATATTTGTTTTGTGTTGAAGTGATATCATTGTGGGTAGGTTGAGCAATAATGTCTATTATACATATTGAAATGGGGTCCGGATAAATTTTGATTTCTAACAATGCATAGTGTTAGTTTGATCCAATACGCTATACATCAGAAAAGGCGTAGTTTGATCCAATACGCTATACATCAGAAAAGGCGTAGTTTGATTCAATACGTTCTTCTAGTCTTACTCTTGTAATCTTTCTAACTTCTACATTCATTAATGAACTTTCTCATTTAGTGTATCATATGCAGTCCAATTTTTAAGAAAAATCATATAATAGCTAGCATCATGACTCTTTGTAGAAAGTGCCATAACGACGACACCCGTGCTTTAGGTAAATTTTAAAGTTGAGAGCCTCACGACATTAGATAAGTGGTCGTTGTTAGAATTTTGATTTTATTTTTTCATACTCAAGTATTGATACATGATCTCCCTCTTCCATTTTGTGCTTGAATTTCATCTCTATCTTAGTGCTCCACTAAGATTCCTTGAAACCCCTCATAGATTCATATATTTCTACTAAATAAATAAACAAGTACGTAAAACAAAAATATTTAAACTATAAAAGTATAACTTTCCCTCAAGGTTAAAATTTGTTATTCATAAACTTATATGACATGATTCTTAATTCTGAAAACTTATATGACATGATTCTTGATTCGGAATAGATTTACAAAAGTAGAGAATCTACCTAAACCACACGGGAATTATTTTGAAGTCTAAAAGATATAATTTAGTAAAGCCTTTAAAGTATTTGGATATTAAAAAATGATAATTAGCCGAGCTAGATCCTGTCCTAAGCACAAACCTTAGAATTTAATTATGATGCAATGAGTAAAGAAAACCAAACAAATGGGAGTGGGTTTCCTGTACCCATTTCTGATTTTGAATTGTAAAAGAAGAAGCCATTAAGGGACACTGAGCGGCCCACCGCCGCCGCCGCCGCCGGCCACATCCCTTAAAGTTCATCTCCAAGTAGCCTTTGTCTAAAGCTATGCTCTTATTAAATTTTCAGTGCTATGATTCAGTAACATGATATCAACTTTCTTGAAGGCCTGTTGGTGGGGCTTTGCTGCCTGGAACAGATTTCACATGTGGAGAAAAATTTTAAAGTATAATTTAGAATGATCGGAAGATTCAACACCTAAAGTGGTTGTAGAAGGGAACGAAACATTTTTTATAAGAGTATGAATAGCTCTTTCTAGTAGATGCGCTTTAAAATTATGAGGCTGACGACAATATTTAACAATTGAAAGTGGACAATATCGGTTAACGGTAGGCTTGAGTTGTTACGCTTACTTTGACATTCATTTACATCTCTTGAAATATGATCATGTTATCTACTGTTTTGAGGTGCTTCTAACACCGAAAACTATCTCCACAGATAAACACAAGTAATTTCAGCATAATTTATTCTCGTTCATATAATTCCTACAAAAATATTTTGGAGGTCACCCCGGAATTACTCCAAACTAAACATACGATCGATCCAATCTATTTTAACTTGAGAAGTCTTGTATTAATTTTTTCTGAATTGGGTTGTATTTAATTTATTTTATGTTCAAAACATGAAATCTTTTATAAATTTTATTTTTCTTGAACGTAGGTTTTAACGTCGAGTTAGACATTTCACTTCTTTTATAAATTTTACTAGCATACATGTAATGACATTTAGTGAAGTCGTGAAAGTTGTGTCATTACAAAGTTTGATGACATTGAAAAACATGTTGAAAGATGTTTATCTCATCGTAAAAGTTGATAACTCAATATTCATTAAGTGATTTTACAACTAAAAAAAAAAGTACGGATTGTTTTGTTTTTCTTTCAATACAAACAATTACGAGATAGAGGTTCGAACATCGACTCTTAAAAGAGAAATCAAAAGATATTTTTCTTTTACATACGTTTTAGGGTACAATAAGAAGAAAAAAAGAAAGTAAGACTCGGGAGGATGTAAATCAAGGAACGAAGTTAAGAGAGTAAGAATCAAGAAAGGTTGTCCAAGAGGCATCGTCCTCGGCCATGGCATTGTCGTAGCAGCTCCATGTCTCCACAGGCGAGCTAGTCGAGTTACTATTCTCAGCTTCTTCATTTCTCGCAAATCTCCCTCGTATGCGCTTTCTACTATCTGCCAGTGTCTTCCTACATTCATACTGCCAAATTTTCCCGACTTATAAAAATTCGAACTTTTAACATTTTATATACATAAAATTAAAAAAATTAATTAGTAAAATTAATTACCTTAATCTTCTTATTAAAATTCCTTTGGTTTCTCTTGGTTTTGTATCTTTCAATTCTGTGTCTCTTCTCTTGGGGAGTATATGGGGAAGCTCTTCTCATTCCTTCTATTATCAAACTGCTTTCACTGGACCATGCCCTCTCTTCGCCTCCTCTCTCATTATGACCGGAGCTGTAAGCCCTTGTGAGTGGTCGGCGAGAGGTTGGACCATGGCTTAGCCCAGGGTGCGATGTTGGAGACCCGTAGCTACTACAACCTCCACTACTACTCCCACTATAACTAACCTCCAATGCCTCTACCATTGGGGAAGGGTTGTGGGAATATATGAAATTTGAGAACGACGGGAAAGGTGGCGGCGGTTGGAGGTGGCTCAGGGAGGCATCTGCGGTGGCGGCTGCGTGACTGTGCATGATGAGGTGGAGGAGGGAGGGAGAGAGCGATTGAATACTTTCTTTTCTTAATTTGGGTTTGTGAATGAAAGGGAGAGATGTGGAATAGGGAGTTATGTAGAGGAGGAAAAAGAGAGATGACGTGGATGGATGATGTCATCATTTTGACTTTTTCGTTGACTAATTCTTATTCCTTTCCCCAACTCCTAAATCAAGTTGGTTTCTCTGTCTCTTAAACACTTTTTGACTAAAAAAAAAAAAGAAAAAAAAAAAAAGCTCTCTCGAAGATATCATATCTCTGTCTCTTTCAATCTAAGTTGAAAAGGTAATTCCTTTGCCATCCTATTTTGTTCAAAGGGTCAACTAGTTCTGCCACGTAGACTAATGGTCGGATCGTTGTTGTCAATATCGTCCAATTCAACTTCGGTTCTAGTTCAAGCCACACTTGTGCTCTGGCTTGGCCGTTTTTGTAGCTGATTCAAGGTATTTGAAGCTAATTCGAGTTGATTTTGTGTTTTGAACTAACTTAAGCTCCGTTCGAGACTATTTAAGTTAGCTTATCTTCCGTATTTTTAACTATTATTAGGACTGATGTTAGAATTATTAGATAGTTGTAGCTCTAAGGATGAGTTCCAAGCTTGATTCCTCGTACATTTACAACAAAAATGGAAGGAGGGAAGAAAGGGCACGATAATAAAGGTAGTGACTCTAATTTTGAAGTGATGTAGGTGATTTTGATGGGCCTACACCTTGTGAGTTGGGGAAAGATGGTGTTTGGAGGTCCCCTCCCCTCTTTGCACTTCATGGCCATTTGTTTTCAAATGGAGAATCATACTGACTTGATACTGTTAAATAAGGAACCTTTAATTAGTGTTTATGTTTATAACATCAAATGCTTAACTGAGTTCGAGAAATTTTTTTGAACGAACCCAAAATTTCAAATTGATTGGGTTGATAACCCAAATAACCTAAAATTGGATCGTCGAAGAAGGTGATGACGAGGGCGAGGAGGTGGGTCTGCGAGGGAGGGCAAGGAGGGTGTCTGGTTGAATATCCTAGGAAAGAAGCATAGGCACATTTTAAAGTAGTCACATTCAAATTGAGGCTTATGATTGAAGTGTGTGAGGGTCACATGGGGATGCATTAAACTACATAGAGAAGTGGTGGTGGGGGTGGTGGTGGTGGTGGTGGTGGTGGTGGGGCAAGTGTCATTGTTTTTGGTTTACAGAAGCAAAAGGCTGGTAAGATTTGACATCATCATAATCATATTCATATTCATATATTCATGGTAGTGGAACAATTATATTAATTTAACAATGGAACTACCTACCTAATAACCCAACCCCTACTGCAATGCCATATCAATCAAATACAATAAGGGCCCTTCTCAAACCCTTTATGCCTAATTATCCTACTCTTTCCACTCCTCATTTGTACTCCATCACATGCCTATGCACCAAACAATCCTAATATTCAACCCCAACCCATACAATAGTTATGCATAATGCTACATTTAGGAAGTAATTGAGGGGAACAAAACATTCCCCTCCCTAACGGATGCGTTTTAAAAACTTTAAGAAAAATTTTGGAAGGAAAAATCTAGAGAGACAATATCTACTGACAGTGGACTTGAGTCGTTACATTTTTTCTATTTGGAAATTGAGCATAATCCCATACGATGTATAAAAGATATGATTGTGATGCCTCCGATTATGACTCTACAAGATATTTCAACGAGTCGACTTTCTTGTGACTATTGCCCACAAAATATCTATAGTCAGCTCTACCTATACACTGCCCATTGCCATCATCACAATCCTCCACTTGTCAAATTGAGTAGGCTTATTGAGGTCTTGTCTCGCCATCTCTATATATGTTTGGTTTCAGTGGCCTAGAGCCATAATATCCTCCTAAAGGATCTAAGTACTAAAGAAATGTGGGTCTAGGTTATAAATCTTCAACGTTCAAAAGACAACTCAAGTTACACAACAATTTGAATTTGAATCAATATAAATACTTATGTTCGTCTAATGTAATTTGTGAGAACATCATGTGGTTCGTGATCTACCTCGTTGTGTTCTAGATTGAATATGGACAATCTATGCTTGCGGTGTTGTAAATTGTCATAAGTTTTGATTTGATTTGGTTATTTGGATTAGATTTGATTTGGTTATTTGAATTAGATTTAGTCATACCAGGGTTTAGTTATATATCGAGATTTGATATCAGAATTTGATATCGGAATTTGGGAGAGTTTTGGGTGTCACATCGTATTTGTTGAATGACATATTGGTGAGAGTCTTTGTAGTGTGATAGTGAGGTATTCACTTGTAACACTGAGTTTTATTAGTGATTGGTTGCTATCCATGGATGTAGGGGAACTTCTTCTCTCCGAACCACGTAAATATCTTGGTGTCTCTTTGTGTAATTCCGTTCATTGGTGTTGTGAGTACATTTGTTACGCTTCCGGCACACAACATGCGGTGTCCTCGAAAATGCAATTACCAAACTATTGCTACCATCTTCTTGCCTTTCAAGTGTTGGCGTACATTTATAAGGTAGAATTGGATTTCAAGGAGTAAATCCAAGCGACCATAAAGGAAGTATAGTAACTTTGACTTAGACTAATCAAGTGAGTGCTTTTACTGTTGGCTTGGTTAGATGACTTGTTTGTTGCATGAGCGATGCGTGCCCTATGAGTCTAGCACATGTTGTCTTTCATGATTGTATGACGTATACTATGTTACACCATGTAAACTATATTAACTCATATGTGTCATGCCATGTAATTAGTTATATATTTCGTAGAAATGCTATGCCATGAAAAGAAAAGAGATACTTTATATCGTAAGTATATGTTATGATTTAAAACTATAGAAATCTAATGCATACGAGTATGTCACGTGCATCAAGACAGGATTAAAACTGATCGATAAATAAAATCAAACAACATCAAAGAGGTGGGGGAGATTTTAATAGTGGTAGTTGGGGCTTTGTAGGAGTGCTTGTGCCTTCTTTTCATACCTAAAACCATGAGCTTGTGAATCATCTGCAGACCAAATAAAGATTCCATGAAGGAGTTTGTCCGTTCTAAGCCTTCGACACGCCTTAAAAAACCCATGCTTTGACAACAATCCGCCGCTATCGTCGCTGGCTAAGCTTGCCAGGATCCTACCACCTTCATAATTTGAGCTTTGAGCTTTGAAATGTTTGATAAACTGATGAACTGTGGTGGTCTTATCATAAGCATAGAATTGAAAATTAACATAATCTATCAAGTGCCCGTATCTTTTCCACAAGGCTAAGTAATGGGTTTGAACTTCAGCGTCGTCAAAAGGGGCAATGGAAGCAAATGAGATGACTCCCTTCTTCTTTAGCCGTCTAATTAGCTGCCCTATGCACTCAGCGAACGTGTTGGGGTCCGACTCGAAGTGTTCATAATCGATGTCGATGCCGTCGAGATTGAAGGTGTTTATGAGCTTTGTGAGTGAACGTTCTGCGTTGGAAACCCATGAAGCTATTGAAGAAGGTTTGAAATAAACAAAGCCTGAGTCTCCCACGCTGTCTCCTCCAAGACTTACACCCACTCTCACGTTTGAATGATCCTAAAGCACATGAGTAATTTCGTTCGGTAATTAAGAGAAAAATTATGAGTTTATAAGCAAGAAACACTATCTCTAACGACACAAGACCTTTTGGAGAAACAAAAAACAAACCTACGAGAGCTTATACTCAAAGTAGAAAATATCATATTATTGTGGAGAGTCATGATTCCTAACATAGTATTAGAGTCAAAAGTGACTCGAGTGTCGAACAAATGATGTACTTTGTTCAAGGGCTCCAGAGAAGGAGTTGAGCCTCCATTAAGGAGAGGCTATTTCGAGGGCTTCATAGGCCTCAGGTGGAGGCTCTATGGTGTATTTTGCTCGAGGGGAGGATTATTAAAAGAGTAGTCCCACATTAGCTAATTAAGAGGAAGATCGTGAGTTTATAAGTAAATAATGTTAGACGAACATGACTCTCCACAATGGTATGATATTGCCCACTTTAAGCATAAGCTCTCGTAGCTTTGCTTTGGGCTTCCCAAAAGACCTCGTATCAATGGAAAGAGTATTCATTGATTAGAAACTTAGAATCATTCTCTAAATTAGTGGACGTGAAACTTTCATCATCCAACAAATAAGAGTATCTCCATTGGTACGAGATCTTTCGAAGAAACAAAAAACAAAGCTACGAGAGCTTATACTAAAAAAGGATATATTTTTTTTTAGGTATAATATTGGGTTGTTGAACGTTTGATTACCTTTTTAATGGCAGCAACAGCGGAAGGGCTAAGATTATAGGAATCCCAGAAAACGTTGAATACTCCATTAGTGAAACAACGGCGGGAGCTGTCAAAGTCTATGGCAAACGACAGGAGAAAGTGAAACTCTTCTACATTTGGGTTAATCGGAACGTCGGAAAATTTGACATCATTGAACTCAGCTCCTATGTATTCTCTAAACACTGCCGCCGGTACTACCACCGCCGTGTTAGACGGCGGAGCCACCAGAATCAATAGAAGAACAACAATTATTCCATCCATTACCACTTGGGGTTTAAGTGAGTGGAAGATAGCTTTAATGGGTGATTCAGTTCTCAAGTTTAGGTGCTTAATTTATAGTGTTTGGAATGTGAAGGTTGCTTTTTTTTTCTTAGATTTTGTTTGGGGATTATGTCTGGTTTTTTGTTTTTTCTTTTGTTCTTTCTAATCATTTCTTTGCTTTGAGTTCTCCGAATTTTGATTTTTACCTATAAATTATCTAATAAAATATATAAATTAAAACCGTCTTAGACATACAACAAATATGAAAACGCTTATACGGACCCAATGGCTCAATTAACATACACCCCGTCACTGGTCCGAAATGTCCTTAAATAAAGTTATTTTAAAAAAAGTGGAAGTATTAAAAATGCTAAGTAAATAACCCACGAAACCAGATCAAAGATGCATACATACAACAAAAACATGCAATGGTATATCTATAAGACCTACGTCATTATAATTAAAACATGGCATTTTTACCGTCAAATTAATTCATTTTATTAAGCTATAACAATTTGTTGTGTTGTATAATTAGGAGTCGGTAACGACTCACTTTTCGAGAACTTTAAACCACAAATCGTTGTTACTTATGGAAAATTTAAAAGGACGTCCATAATTTGGATCATTCAAAAGATCGATGAAAGTTGCACTGAAATTTAAAAGGACTTGATAATCTTATGAACTTCTCTCTTCGTTCCAAACACTTTGAAAGAACAAGCACGAATAAACGCTTTTAATATTGTACCTAACGTCATGCGATCTCACAGTTTTAAGGGTAGCACTCACAATGTAGCGATAACGTTGAATAATTTTTGTATGCATAAACTCTAGAAATCGAATGGACACTTATTGTGCTTGTCCGGCACTAGCTTCTCAACTCGGGTTAATTTAATCGTGATGTTGAGAAGGTATCTTAATCGACCTAAAGTTGAATCAGTCTATATAATCATATGTTTATAGCTACCTCCAAATATGCATTACATTTTTTAAGATAGTTTATAAAAGAAGCAACAATGAAATAAATTATAATACAATGTGGTCGAAAATGGCTGGATATTGGATGATTGTTTATTTAAATGAAACTTTCCGGCAAAATCTTGGTTCTACCGACATAGTATTTAACTATTGACACAAAAGGATGCTCTTGATTAGATTAAAAGCGTTCATATGATTCGAGAATCTAATTAATTTAGATTATTGAGTTGATTTTTTTTATTTGGTGTGAAATTCTACATCGTTGAAGAGGGGATATCGAAACTTAAGAGTCTGAAACCTCTCTTCAATAGATGCGTTTTAAAACTGTGAGGCTGACAATCATGCCTAACGAGCAAAAACTGACAATATTTGCTAGCAGTAGCCTTGAGCTGTTACATTTAGATTAGGTTGAATTTTTGGAGAACTGAAAATTTGGGTTGGTTCGTAAGTGGACACTTTCTTGGTTGGGTCAACGTGACCAATTTGCAAATAGGCTTGCAATCTAACCCAACCCTACTTTTAAAATTATTATAAAATTTTTAAGAATATTTGACATTTGTAACTAATTTTAGTGTGGTGTGGTCTGTGAAGGTTAACTATTTATGATTTATGAGATTTTAATTATTAATATAACATGTATGGTACATAAGTAGAGTTGCAGTCATCAACGAGCACGAAGCCATATGTCAACCCAAATGGTCAACGAGAGGTAAGGGGTCATGTTGCTCTTGTTCGAGTTGAAAAATACCTTGGATAATTAAAATATAATCTCATGGAAATTGAATTATAGAGTAAAAGTTAGATTTAAAATGATTATTTTGTTAAATTCAAGTATGAAAAGTTAGGAGAAGATAAAACATGAACCTATAAGAAGAAAATCTTCTCCAAAAAGAAAGACACTTTTTCCCACTTAGTCTTAGCTTCACTTGATGTTGCTTAAAGAAAATGATCAAAACAAAGTTGTACAAAATTTCGTCTCTTTTAGTAGTTCTCGAAAAATTCCACTGATATAATAGATCGCCGTTGGTAGATATTATCTGTTTTGACTCATTGCGTATCACTGTCAAGCTCACCATTTTAAAACATTGTTAGGAAGAGGTTTCCACACCCTTATTATAAGAAATATTTCGTTTTCTTCTCAAATCAATATGTGATCTCACAGTTCTTGAACAAACTCAATGTAGTAACAACAATAAGATATGGCCAAGTCAACCAAGTCTGTAGCTGCATATAGATTTTTATATGCATGCAAGTGATGTATAGAGAGTCGGTGAATGTGATTAGAGAAATATGTTTATCGTGGAATATTAGTTTGGTGTTTACAAATGGGAAAGTGAAATGTGTAGGTTCATAATGTGATAATATTTTGTTTTTTGTAGCATGTGGTTTGCGATCATGGCTTGCACCTTCGTTGTCCCCATACTCACTCCTTAGGACATGTTATTTTCAAATCTGGGACCCTGTAAATTTCTCTGTCCTTGCATACCAAATAATTGGTAATGCCAAAAATCATACCATGGAGGTACGCTATCTACTCCATCAATCTAAATATCTACAATGTTTTCTCTTGATGATATGATACCCGAATAAAAGAATGTTATATGAATAAATCGATATTGCATTCAAATGGAAGCAATCTTAAGAATAAAATGATTACGAAAGAACGTGCACTTTTCTTTTTGATAGCTTAACTATACGAACCTGAATCAATTCTGCGTTGAGTGACAAACTTTTTAAGATGACAAACTTTTTAAGATGAGAAATAAAGCGATAAATATAGCGATGATGTCTTAAAGGTCAGCGTTTGATGATTATTACTCCAATGGCTTAGGGGAAGTGTGGAATTGAAGAAAGGTATGAGGTGGTGATTGTTGTTTGACCATGAAACAACTTTTACAACTACACCCACCAACAACAGCACTTGCATTTGTACACACCTGCACGTAATACCAATAATTCTATTTCTATCTTACTACTACTTTCATTATGCATAGAGATGTTTACGGGTCGGGTGGAGACACTTCAGATGTCTACGAATTAAGGTGGGGATGATGAAGCCTTTCCAAAATTCTTCATTTATTTTTGCAGAGAACGCGTGGAGATTCCCATAAGAAATTTGTAGGGATTAGATTACCCACCAACCATATTTGCTAGCACACCGGGGGAATTGGGCTAATATCATTTACCGTCTCATTTATTTAGAGGAAAAAAAATGTTTTCTACTCCCTCCTGATTTCTAATTTCGAAACGGGTAAATTGGACCTCTCTAATTACGAAGAGATATAGATCAGAAGGCAAATTTGATGATTTAAAAAGAAGGATCGAATGGTTGGTTGTATCATTCCTAGCAGGAAAGTAAAATTGGGGTTAGTAGAAGTAAAATATTAGAAAAAGTAGTTAAAAGTGGGAAGGGAATAAGGTTGTAGTTGTAGTTCTAAAGATCTGAAGAACTAAAGCTGCAACCCCATGTGTTAAAACTCACAATTCAAACACTTTTTCCTTTTGGTTTTGCCCAAAAGTTGCAGTGTTCTTGGAAGTTTGGTTGAAGAAGAAAGCATTTTTAAATAGTTTCTGAAGAGAATCAAATGCCTCTTCGAATCACTCTCCGTTTCACAAATGGATGAAAAAGGTTGAGTTGTACTCCAACCCCATTAATGTTGTCATTCTTTTTATATTTATTTCTATTTTAAAACATGGTTGAGGTCGATTCGATCAGCTTCTTGCTCAAGTAGCTCGTTGAGTGTGAATACAATATTTGCTAGTGGTGGATTTGAGCTGTTACAAATGATACCAAAGTTAGACACGGAACTGTATACTAGTAAGGATGTTAGGCTCTCGAGGGGGTGGATTGTGTCCCACATCAATTGGAGAGGAAACTTAACATTTGTTAGAAAGGTATGGAAACTTAGAAATCTCACCCTAATAATTTTAAAACGATGAGGGAAAGCCCTTGAAAGGAAAACCTAAAGAAGACTCCACTATCGGTGAACTTGAGACAATATCGATTAGTAGTGAGATTGAATTTGAGACAATATCGACGGTACATTTAAGTGACTCATCACCTTCCATGGTTTAGTATTTCTAGAACAGATTAAACAAATGAAAGTAAATGTTGTCAGTGTTTGAAAGATATAAAAATAATGGTTTGTCCCTCGTAGAGATTCTAAATGAATTTAAATAAAAAATGGGCAACTCCATAATATTGAAATTAGTAATTAATTTAAAATTTTCAAACTAAACTAATTTCAAAATGTTCCTCTTATTTAATTTATTTATTTAAAAATATCGAAAAATTTGGGAATGGACCCATGGAGCTGCTAGCTCCAGTTATTCTTCCAAATTGTTCAAATTTTATTTTATTCAGTGCGTTGAATGTACAACAATTCAAGTCCATTGCTAATAGATATAATTCATTTTGACACGTTACGTATCGTCGTTAGCCTCACGATTTTAAAACGCATCAAGTTGATGACGATACGTAACGGGTCAAAGCGAACAATATCCGCTAACGGTAGGTTTGAGCTATTATGGGTCAGTTGATTTTCTAGGGTTCTCTTTTGTTTCTTTCTTACACAATACCTAGGTCTCTGTTTGATTTTGAATCAATTGAGGTGTTAGGATTTCAAGTATTAATAGTTGGGTCATGCGTTCTCTTTCCTATGCTAGTAGGTTAAAGCACATTCAGTATGTTCTTCAGAGTTTTTAGTGTCTAGATTGTTAATGAGATTGATCGAGCTCTACTTGTGTATATATGGTGAGGGGACCGTTCTTCGTTGGAAGGCATCAAAGTAGCTTGGACATTGATATGAAAACCATAGCTAGTTGAATCTAAGAATCCTCGTAAACACCAGGATATGCAAAACCCTTAGTTCACCAAAGTAAAACTCTCAAATCAATTTGATTTCATTCTAAATGATTGCAACTTTTGGGAATATGATCTAACAAGCTTATTAAAGAATAAAAGATTTAAATCTGAATATCCAAAAACCTCAAAACGATAAGGAATTATTCCAAGCAAAAATAAG